TGAAATAGCTCTGCATTGCATGAAGATGCTATCTAGTACAAATATCCAGAGGGAGAAGTCAATACCTCACTTAAAAGCTTCTAATGTAATGCAGCTAATGACTTTATATTGAAGCCAATATTCATTTGCATTAAGAAAAACCCAGGGCTCCTAGGAATCATCCTATATATTCTTTGTTCTATATAGACTGTATAGATTTAGCCTGTGATTCATAAGTGGAAAAACACAGTCTAAATAAAAATATATCTGTTAAAATGAAAATATATCTGTGCCAGAGCCGTGGCTAACTTGGTTAATCCTCTGCCTATGGCACCAGCATCCCATATGGGCACCGGGTTCTAGTCCCGGTTGTTCCTCTTCCAGTCCAGCTCTCTGCTGTGACCAGGAAGGCAGTGGAGGATGGCCCAAGTGCTTGGTCTCCTACAGCTGTGTGGGAGCCAGGAAGAAGCACCTGGCTCCCGGCTTCAGATTGGCATAGCTCCAGCCATAGCAGCCATTTGGGGGGTGAACCAATCGAAGGAAGACTTTTCTCTCTGTCTCTCTCTCTCTCACTGTCTAACTCTATCTGTGAAATTAAAAAAAAGAAAATATATCTACAAGCAACATAATTTGATCACATTGTTAAGATCTACTACTCAGAATAAGAACAATAAAAAAATTCCTTTCAAAATACTACTAGTGATTTACAATGCAAATTGTCACCCAGGCATTCTTGTAGGGATTTGCAATGAAATTGTTGTTTTGTGCCTGCTAACACACCATTCATTAACTCAAATGAAGCCCATAAATTAAGTGTAATTTTGATTTTCAATATTATTGTTTAAGAAACACATTTCATAAGGTTAAGCCTTCCTAGGATAGCGATGGATAGTGATTCCTCCCATGGATCTGGATAAAGTAAGTTGAAAATCTTCTGGAAAGTATTCACTATTCTGTCTTCCAATAAGAGAATCTGTGATACATGGGAGGAGATCAAAATATCATCAGTAATAGGAGTATAGAAGATATTGATTACATTCCTCATAGATGACCTGGAGCGGTTGGAGACATCAGCAGACAAAGTAACTGTAGAGGTGGTAAATATAGTAAAACAACTTAAATTAGAAGTGGAGCCTGAAGATGTGATTGAATTGCTGAAATCTCACTAACAAACTTGAATGGAAGATGAGCTGCTTCTCATGTATGAGCAAAGAAAGTGTTTTGAGTTGGAAGCTAGTTTGGAAAAGATTCTCTGTACGTTATCAAATGACAAGTGCTTTAGAATGGTTCATAAACTTAGTTTATAAAGTAGCAGCAGACTTAGAAAGGATTGTCTCCAATTTTGGAAAAAAGTTTTATTATGGATAAAAGGCATCCAAACAGCAACACACATTACAGAGAATCTTTAGGGAAAGAAAGAATTAAATAAGACCAACAGCTTCATTGTTGTCTTATGTAAGCCACTGCAAACTTCAGCAAATGCCATGCTGAAAGGTTCCTCCAGGTCTCCCATGTGGATGCAGGGACCCAAGTACTTGGGCCATCTCCTGATGCCCCCATGGCACATTATCAGGGAGCTCGATAGGAAGTGGAGGAGCTGGGACTCAACAGGAGCCCGTATGGGATGTGGGTGTCCCAGGCAGCAGCTTAAACCACTATGCTGCAATGCCGGCCTCTATATTTTGTTTAAAGCTTCATAGAATTCATTTCTTTGAATTATTTTAAAAATGTTGTTTGTCTTCTGGGTTTATAAAAAGAAATAATAGGCCTACAGTATCATTTTCAACTCTTGTCACTGAAATGGCTAGAGCTTGGTTAAGTTATTCACCCTCTATTCTTCAATTTCCTCCTACACATTGGATAAAAGTATCTAAAATCTACAGAATACCATGCCATCATATTTAATTAAGTAAAGTGGATAAAGAGCAGAAATGGGAGTCTAACAACTATGTTGCTGCGAAAAAAGTGACATAATTACGGCAACATTTCAGATCCACCACTTCTCTTTCAAAGGAATATGCTACTTCCTTCCTCTGATTAAGTAGTCCTTGCTTTCCTGTCTTATAACTGAAATGTACATTTACTGCTGAAGTTCTAATTTCACTGTCAGAGTAGATACCTAATCATTTTGAATACTATTTAAAAAATCTAATATCTCTAATTAATTGACTGTAATACTTTTTTTAGAAAGATTTATTTATTTATTTGAAAGTCAGAGTTACACAGAGAGAGAAGGAGAGGCAGAGAGAGAGGTCTTCCATCCACTGGTTCACTCCCTAGATAGCCACAATGGTCGGAACTGTGCTGATCTGAAGCCAGGAGCCAGGAGCTTCTTCCAGATCTCCCACTTGGGTGAAGGGGCCTAAGGACTTGGGCCATCTTCTACTGCTTTCCCAAGCCACAGCAGAGAGCTGGATCGGAAGTAGGGTATCCGGGATTCGAACCGCTGCCCATATGGGATGCCGGCACTGTAGGTGGTAGCTTTACCCGTTAAACCACAGTGCTGGCCCTGACTGTAATACTTTTATAAAATAAAAAATGACTGATGTTTGCACACTCTATCGATGAGCTATAATAATAAAAACTATTGAGAAAAAGATGGAGATAGATATATAGAAATTTGTATAGATAAAATTGTACTCCACATGATTCTGAAGATAATTTGAGAAGACTATAAAATAAATAGGATTAAAGAAAAATGTAAAATTCAGAAAAAAATAAGTGAAAATAGTAATTATTTTTAATAGAAATGTGCAATTTATTTCCTCAATCCCTTTCGGTATTTGAAAATTGATAACTCATTCCTCAATCACATTCCAACTGTTTGTATAGGCTGCTGATATTTGCAGCACTGCATTCAAGAAATAACATGACATTACAATGAATTCCTTCGATGTTTCATGTACTTTTATATACTTTTTAAAAATATCAACACTAATTTAATTTTGATTCATAAATAAATATTTATTCAGAGAAATAATTTTCTTTTGATTATAAGCCTTGTTACCCCTCCTCCTGTCTCCTGTTTTCCCTGACTATACGTGTGTGTGTGTCTGTGTACATTGTTTTTACTCAATTGTTTTTATTTTATTTGAAAGAGGGACAGAGAGAAAACCTCGATCCACAGGCTCTCTTCCTAAATACCTGCAACAGCTAAGGGTGGTCCATACCAGAGAAATCCAATTCGGGTTTCTCACATGAATGGCAGGGACCCAAATACTTGAGTCATCACCTGCTGCCTTGAAGAATGCCAATTATCACATAGCTGGATTGTGTGTTGAGCTCTGACTTGAACCTAGACCTGCAGTATCAGATGCAGTTATCCCAAGTGGCAACACAGCAGTTGTACCAAGCATCTGACCTATCCTAGTAGATAGATGATAGATAGATAGATGATAGATAGATAGATAGATAGATGATAGATAGATAAATGTGGATTCCTTTATGCCTTCTAGACTCTAGAAGCCTGGAAGAGAGATGTTTGTTCCTAAGAAGAATTCATAAAAATGCAACAAATAGCTCAAAGCTTTAAACGCTCTGTTTAAGCTAATACCAGAGAACCAGAGAGCTTACCTGGTGATCGTAACACAACTTTTTCCATCTTGTAAATATAAGGCCAGCTTCACTGAGAATCAGATTCAAATTTTCATCGTGTTATTACATAATTACTTATGTTGAACTATTACGGGTTTTAGAGTTCATGTCAGATTCAGGATGGAATGAGTGGGTTTTTGAAATAGGAGCAGCTCAGTGGATTCAGACAAAGCTGAGAATCTGAAACCTTTTCCTAATGCGGTTGCTTTCTTTCTGTGATCACTCAAGCCAAGATCTAAACACTGTTTCTATATCCTTTCTTTCCCTCTCCTCCCCATCCAATTAAATGCCAACCAGCCCTTTTCATTTCTTTTTTTTTTAAGATTTATTTATTTATTTGAAAGGCAGAGTTACAGAGCAAGAAGTAGACACACACGCACACACACACACACACACACACAGAGAGGGAGAGAGAGAGGTCTTATATCCACTGGTTCATGCAAAAACCAGGGCGGGGCCGTGCTGAAGTTAGGATCGAGGAGCTTCACTTGGGTTTACAGCATGAGTGCAGGGGCCCAAGTACTTGGGCCATCTTCCACTGCTTTTCCCAGGCACATTAGCAGGGAGCTGGGCTGGAAGTAGAGTAGCTGGATCAAAAACCAGCCACCATATGGGTTTCTGGTGTCATAAGTGGCGACTTCACCCACTATGCCACAATGCTGGTCCCAGCCCTTTTCATTTCTAACTCTTAAAAATGTTTTATCTTTTTGATTGCCTTTGCCATTAATCCATACATAAATTATTAGTACATACTCCGCTAGGGATGATATTAACTCGCTCTCTCTATTACCTCCATATTCTATGTTTTGTGTTTTCAGTCTTCCAATTCCAATTCAAAATTCAGTATATTAAATCATCTTAGAGAAAACAGTTGGTGTGGTGCGTGCACTCAGTATGTGATGTGAGCGTGAAGTGTCACATGCCTGGAGCTGTTTACAAGGCAGTGAGTAATTTATTGCTTTGATAACTCTTCAGTTTAGAACAGAGGTTTACATTTTAGTCTTGAGAAGTAGTTATTATAAAGAGAAATAATGCAAATAATCTAAGCAGAGTGTGCTGAAGAGTGAGCTATTAGTGTGACAAAGTTTATTTTAGTATCTTGGTTAGCTTTTATAAATTCTATGTTTGAATTATAATATTCAAGTATAAACAGACTCCATTTAAGAAATGAGAAAACTAAGACTTCGAGAAGTTATTTAAAACAGTGTCAAAGACATACAGCTCCTTCATTAGCCAGAGTAAGTGTATCTACATTAGTACTCAGCTAACTATTTTTGATTGAATTTTCTTTCTTCTGTGCCATTTTCTGTGAATCTAAAATAGTCTAAGTCTGGGGTGGGGAGAAGAAAAATAGCGTTCGCATAAGTACTCAGTTTCTGACATACTTTTTTTTTATGAACTTCACAATGTTGATGTCTCTTGTCTAGGTACCGGAAGGGATCTGCCTCTACACAGTCATGCCTCAGTACCAGCAGGGGACTGGGGATTGCTTCCAGGACCCCATGGACACCAAAACCAGCAGATGCTTCAGCAGTTTTTTTTCCCATGAACTATATATTTTATTTGTTAAAAAACCTTGATTATATCCATTTCCAAAAGACGTACACACTTAAAAAGAAATACACAGTAATAGAAAAATGCCTAGTATTTGTGCTTTTCCTAAACGCACAAAACATCTGTTGTACAGTGTTTATTATATGGATGCTACTTATTATTCAAATGGATTAAGCATTTTTGTAACAATTACAGTAAACTAATCAACTTAATATCTGACTCCCCTCAAAATCACATTTGTAGTGTTTAATAAACTATTCCTTACTGTTATTTCCTTAGAATTCCATCTCCACAAAGGTTTTTTGTTCTTGTCCAAAAAATTAATGTACAGTATTAAAGTTATTAAAGTTTTTCACAGCTTTCAGGAACAACTGAATACAAATGATAAATGTTTATATACACACATAAGCTCTACTGCGTAATAGAATTTAGCTAATTCATACAGCAGATAATAATTATTAAAAAGCTACTACATTTATTATATGTCCTACTTTATCAGTTAGGTGTACAGTGTTATTTCTATTTTAGAGATGAGAAGTCTAATATTTACATTGGTCAAACAGATGGCCATTGGTCCCTCTGATATTAAATAGTGAAACTGAGAATATATTTGTTTTCAAGAAATCCTGTGAATATGTTCATTTGAATATACATACAAATATTATATAATGCACTTATTTTTACTTTTGCAATTGCCAATTTATTTTTTTTCGTAATTTATATTAAGAACTGCTGTTAGTATAGGAGTATTCATTTAAAGCATCAAACTATGTATTCTTTTGTTCTTCAATATTTTTTTTTAGTATGTGTGACAGTGCATAAATCATTGAGAAAACAGGTCAGACTACCTAGACATTTGCCATTTAAATGAAAGGCCAATAAAACAGTTGAATCTATTTTTCTACTGAAAAAAAAAAAAAGAACAGACAGGTGGTCAGTTAATCACAGTGCTACATAAACTTAATATGAGATAGTATGATTAATTATCAAATATGTATTAAGATGCTAGCCAGAACTTAACTTTTAAAAAGAAATTAATTTAGGTTTCTCATTTTAGTCAAAAATATATTTTTGTGTATATAGTATCTTTCTTATTGCTCCAGTTAAGGGATATTTTATTCTCTGGTCAATGAACTTTATTATGCAACTCATTTTCTATGCATGTAATTATACTTTTCCTGACTTTTAAGAGGTATTACATTTTTATTGTGAAATAAGCATTTATAATTATTATTTTACAAATCTATATTTTGTATAGCATTCTTTCAACTTGTGCATGACTTTAAAAATGTGTGTAGTATCCTTTCTTCCTTCTCCATCATTATTCATTTTCTTAATGAAGAATATTTTTAATGTGCACTTTAATAGACTATTTTAAGTTAAAGCTATTAGATAGCAATCTTACTAGGCTTTTCTACTCTTACCCATATCTTCTTTTTTCAATTTGCATTCCCTTTTATTGTTTTTATTCTTGCAATTATATTTTAAAACAAATATTCTGAAAATCTCCAGCTATTTATTGCAGTTGTATTTGTTAATAGAAATCCAGGTCACAGACTTCTTTTTATAAGTGTTTTCTAGATCAGCCTCCATTTGTTGTTTTCTTTCATTGAATTTTTAGGCTAATTTTATTTATTTATTTATCTAATGATTTATTCAGGAGGCAGAGAAGCATAGAAAAAGAGGGAGAGAGAATTCTCATCCTCCGAATCACTCCCCAAGTGTCCATACCAGCTGGCAGTGGCATAGGCTGAAGCCAAGATCCAGAACTCAGTGCAGTCTGTCATGTGGGTAGTGGGAAACCAGTTAAGTTATGTAGCAATCACTACTGCCTCCTGGAGTCTGAATCAGCAGGAAACTATTCAAGACTCAGAACCAGGTTTTGAACCCAGATACTCAGATGAAAGACAGAAGCCTGCTTCTTTTGTTCTTCTGTTACTTAAAACATTATTTTTTGGATTTTTTTTTTGTTTTTGGTAATTAGGTCTATAATTTTCCTTGCTAATATCTTTCACCTCCTTATTAATTTGTTTCTGGATTTGAGTGAGTAGCCTTGCACTTTTTTCCCCCTCTGCGTTCTGTATTGCAGCTTTCCCTCTTTCTTTTTTCTCTTAAAGATTTATTTATTTATTTGAAAGGCAGAGTTACAGAAAGGCAGAGGCAGAGGCAGAGGCAAAGGGAGAGAGAGAGAGAGAGAGAGAGAGAGAGAGAGAGACTTCTATCTGCTGGTTGCTGGTTCATTCTCCAAAAGGCCACATCAGCTGGATATGGGCTGATCTGAAGCCAGGAGCCAGGAGCTTCTTCTGGGTCTCCCATGCAGGTGCAGGTGCCCAAGTATTTGGGCCATCTTCTGCTGCTTTCCCAGGCCATAGCAGAGAGCTGGATCAGAAGTGGAGTAGCCAGGACTTGAACCAGCACCCTTATGGGATGCTTTCACTGCAGGCAGTGGCTTTGCCTGCTACACCATAGCACATGTCCCCTGTATGGTGCCTTTCTATACTGGTTATGCATCACTGTTCTCCCTAGTTTAAAGTTTACTTTTCCTTTATGTCTTTATAAAAGTTATTTTCCCATTTCTGTCAGTTCTTGTTTTACTCTTTTCTCATCTAATCATGATTTCCATTTTCATTTCTTATCTATTTTTTAACATAGAGGGTGTTGGTGTTTATTTTTAATTGTTGTTCATCTTGTGGGAAAGAATGCACTAAAATTTCTCATTATGTGCTTTGAAGAATGATGGCATGCCAGCTGCAGTATTGTACAATTGTCAACAGGGTTTTTACCTTCAGAGACCATTCACCAATGTGATTATTTCCTTTGCTTGGTGAACATGTCCCTTTATGGTTTTCATCATTTAAATCATTGAATTCACCTAATTATTATTTCCACATTATTGCAATATGAGCCCAGCGTCAGTACATAAAGCATAGGCAATTGAAACTTCTCTCCTTCAAAATTACCTTTTCGAGTTTTTTTAGTGGCTTTGCAACCACGCCTCTGGCATCATTTTCGTCCCTCTAAAGATCTCAAGGTTTGTAAATCTGTGATTATTTTGGTTCCCTTTTTAGAGGTGTGACGCTGTTCAGACTTAAGTGTACCTCTCATCTTCCACTTATCCACTCATCTTCTGACTGTATTTTAATATTTGGGAAACTGAAGCAGAAGGAACTACCTAGTTTATCACTACCTAGTTTATCTAGGTAGTGATGAGTAGGCTTAGAGTGTGAAGTCAGGCACACCAATCTTTATGTTTTTGTTTTAATGGCTGTACTAGTCTGCCACTGGTCTCCCTAAGTCAAGGCTTCTATATTTCATATTATAAAATGAAAGCAAATCTGTCAGGAAGAGGTGAAACATTAAAAATTACTCAGAACCGACCATCAACTTATTAATAAGTTTTAGTGAAAGAAAAGACAGAAATAAAGGTAAGGAATCCCTAGGGGTAGCTACAGGATGGAGAAATAAACAGAGAAAGCCTCAGAATTCTGCCTCCAGTAGTGACCAGTAACAATGAAGAGGGTACTCAACTTTTTCTGATTATTCTTTCTCTACCAACATGGAGAAACATGGACAAGACATTCGAGAATATTAAGGGTATTAGAATAAACATTTGAGCATTTGGGACATATCAGCATTAAAAACTAACAACTGGAATTGGCCAAATATTCCAAAGCCCTAGACTGCACCCAATTACTCACGTTCAGTATTACATAAATTAAATTCACAAGACACCTACACAAAAAATAAATGTACAGCAATCTCCCTTTATTTGTGGTTTTGCTTTCTTTAGTTTTAGTTACTTAGTGTTAACTGCATTCTGAAAATATTAAATGAAGAATTCTAGAAATGAGGAATTCATGACTACATTGTGTTATCATTGTAAGTATCTTGATATATTCTCATCTCATCTCACTCTATCCCACCTGGGACACGAGTCACCCCTTGGTTCATCATATCCACCCTGTATGGGCTACCTGCCTGCTAAATAACTTAGAAGCCCTCTCAAGTATCAGATCACCTGTACATGTTTTTCAGTACTTGTGTTCAAATAATCCTCAACAATGGCCCAAAAGTGCAACAGTAGTAACGCTGTCATTTAGTATATGCCACAAGGAAGTCATAAAGTACTTCATTTAAGGCACAAGATGAAAATTCCCTACTCAGTAATGAGAAAAAAAATGTATGCTGATGTTGCTAAGAGCTACAGTGGAAATGAATCTTTTATTTGTGAAACTGTAGTGTGTCTAGGGAAAAATGTAATAAAAATATATGTAAGATTCAGTAAAATCCTCAGTTTCAGGTATCCTCTAGGGTTCTTAGAATGTACCTTCCCAGGATTACTGTGTAACAAGTCAAAAGAGGAGGAAAAAGCAAAAAAAAAAAAAAAAAGCATTAAAGACCCATTTAACATATGATATAGAAAAAAATCCACAAGTGTTTCAAACTATAGAAAAATTTGTATAAATTCAAATTTTTGTATAGAATTTTGTAAAGACTTTTATATGAATTCAAAATAATAGAAGTAAATTGATGGGACAAATATGAGATGAGATGGGAAATTTGAGATGAAATGGAACAAAATGAAGACCAAAACATAGCATGGTTGTGAGTGATAAATCAAGACAAGAAATAGCTGTTACCAAAAGTTTTCAACATGCAGAAATGCTACAAATGATTAAAATGAGTACAGAGGAACAAACAAATGGATTACAGAAGTAGTAAGAAGATAAAGGCCATTGATAATAGATTTTATTGCAGGAGGATGAATACATCTAAAGTATAATATCCAATAAACACTATAGAAAATGCATTCAAATTAGCCTGGAAGCAAACAGTTCCAGATATGGAGTAAATACCAATAACAATTTAAGTCCTGTTCCAGGTTCAATGGAAATGTGTTTACCAACACATTCTTTACATAAATAATTATGGAGTAGCTTCTCCATGGAACTAAGATACAGTGCAGGAAACAGATGAGCCTTCTGGTCTAATGAAGCTTCTGTACAGTGCATTGTAGTATAGAGCTGAACAGCAGGCACAGTTCTAACTAGAACATTATTGAATGTGGTAAATGTTAGAAAGTACAAGCCTCTAGGTGATTATCAAAGTATGAGAATGATTCAATTATGAGGAGAACAAAAGCTGCTAGGAAAAAAGTTCAAGTTCCAAAGGCCTTTAAGCCTGGCTTTTTTGTTGATGTTAAGGTGGTATAGAAAAAAACTTGGGAAAAAGAGACAGGAATGTCTGAGTGGCTAAGTGGTTAGGGCTTCTCCTTACAGG